AAGAGAAAAATCTAAGCAAGAAATGAAAAAAAAAAAAAAAAATAGGAAAGGATAGGTTTTCATCCATTTCCAGCAAGAAATGAAAAAAAAAAAAAAAAATAGGAAAGGATAGGTTTTCATCCACTTCCAGCAAGAAATGAAAAAAAAGAAAAATAATAGGAAAGAATGAGCATTCAGCCGTCTCCTCTGCCTAGATGTGAGGGACGGATGAGAGAATGTAATAGAGAAAAATTGAAGCAAGAAATGAAAAAATAGAAAAAAAATAGAAAAAGATAGGTTTTCATCCACTTCCAGCAAAAAATAAAAAATAAAAAATAAATAGGAAAGAATGAGCATTCAGTCACTTATTCAACAGTAGGAATACAGTTATGCTTGGCATGCACTACTATCTAAGCACTCCTAAATCTCACCAGGAGTGTATGATGACAAATCTGATCTCACCTGTTTGATGGATAAGTCTTCATACTTAATAAGGTTGGGTTCAAACGGTACAAATGTCACCGGTTCAAATGTCATAAAGGTCAGCCCATCATAGTTGTTCTGGGGAAAAAAATTATTATATATTTAAGTTACTAGTCAGTGAGTGGCTGTTATACTGATTACCTCCGCCAAGGAGTTGGCAGGAGGTTATGTTTTCACCGGCGTGTGTTTGTTCGGCGTATGTTTGTTGGTTTGTGGGTTTGTTTGTGTACAGCCTAATTGAAAAAGTTATGGACAGATTGTCATAAAATTTTCAGGATAGGTCAGAAATGGGCTAACTTAGAATTGATTACATTTTGGTGGTGATCCGGATCCAATTAATTAATTATTTAATTAATTAAATTTTCAGGATAGGTCAGAAATGGGCTAACTTAGAATTGATTACATTTTGGTGGTGATCCGGATCCAATTAATTATTTAATTAATTAATTAATTAATACAATTTTTCACAGTGAGACAGCAGAGCTGCCTTGGCGGAGGTCTGCGCTCTCCGAGTGCTCTAGTTACTTATATTATTACTGTTATTAGTTCTTAGTTGTTAATGGTTAGATGATAATAGTTTACACGTATGCTTATTCGTGATGCGAGTTACATTATGAGACAAGGAATATATAGGATGCCAACAAAAGTTGAAATAGCAAAATGTTCTTCATTGGGCTTAAAATTGAAATTTTCTACTGTAATTCCCATTAGATATTTTATAGATATTATGGGATGGATCTATGACGAGATCCAGCTGATGCCAATATCATGTCAGCATCGAGTGAATAAAACAAAAGTTGTTTTGATTGCCGGTAACATCTAATTCCCGAGAACTGAATATGTGCGTAAATTTGTAATCAGATATAGGATTGCCGTGTGTGTGCGTGCGTGCGTGCGTGCGTGCGTGCGTGCGTGTGCGTGCGTGCGCATGTGCGTGTGTGCGTGCGGGCGTGCGTGTGTGCGTGCTGGCGTTAGCGCGTGTGTAGCTCCAAGAAACGGTCATACATCAAGACATGTGTATATTGACGTTATACGTCACACAGCCTGGTTGGGCTAGCGCGTGTGTATCTTACCGGCGTATCTGCTATCTTAGACATTATGATAGTCTCCAATCTGACGCCAAATTCGCCAACCTCGTAGTATCCGGGTTCTGCATAACAAACAAAAATCACACGTCGAATGTTTTTACGTCAGGATATATATTCTGTCTATCCACGTACGTATATCTGGCATATTTCAGAATACCCCTCTGGACTGATAGCAATGCTGAAAGTATCTATCTCTCCCTGGGTTTTGTTGTAACTTTTACGCTTATACGCCTAGCGTAGTCTTAGCGTCTATGTGGTCCCACTGTGGCTGATAGGGTCTATGTCCCCCAGGGTACTGCCGGAACGTACCCTGGGTACGGTCCAGTATACCGGAACGTACCCTGGTACTAAATACTACTATCTAATATACCGGACCGTACCTCGCCTACTCCACTAACGAGTCTAGGGAGTCGCCTACGCCTACTCCCTAACCCTAACCCTAACTCTAACCCTAACACTAACACTAACACTGACCCTAACCATATCAGCTAGATAGTTACCAGGGTACGTTCCGGTATACCGGACCGTAGCCAGGGTACATTCCGGCAGTACCCTAGGGGACATAGACCCTATCAGCCCCACTGTGGTAGGCTCTATACCCACCAGCTATTTGGTCACACTGATTATGTAATCCCATTTAGTTACGTGGTCCCACTTCTCGTTCCCTTTTCATATACCATTCCATCCATATTAAGCGGATCTAGATTATGTAAACAATGTACTTTTAATTACGTTTATGTACTGTGTAATATTTTTGTTGTTATATAGTTTGTGTACTGTCTGCACTAGTGACTCTGTACTATACTGTATATTTGTGACTACTGTACATATGTGACTAGAGGGCTAACGCTCCATTAGGAGTGTTCCCAACTTTGATATCATTAATGATTAATGATTAATGATTGATAATCCTAACCCTAACCTAAATGACATTAAACCACAAACTAATGTATAACCATGACTATATATATATATATATATATATATATATATATATATATATGTGTGTTATTGTGACCATTAATGACATTAAAGTTGGGAACCACATATCCCCCCATATGGGCTTCTGTACTATACATGTGATCACACCGGCAAACGTACCGTCAGACATGAAGATTCCTGGTTGCAGAGGATCCGATATTGGACCTGCGAAGAATTGCGTAAATGGGTTAGCGAGAGCTTAGCAACATGCTAACGTTATGATCTTCATAATCATCATAAATATTAGCCTTCAAAGTCCAAGGGACTCTATATTGAAGACGGAGTGAGACAAAGTTGATCAAATATGAACGTGTTCATCCGCGGACTGTTCGTTTCCTCGTGTACATACAGATCGAGCCATACGAGCCAAGTGCTCTGCTCCGGATAAAATTAATTCACAACTTTAATAGATAAATTTATCAAATTCTTTCCCAAAATTTATTTTGCACTGGGCAGGTTCGTTGCTTAGAATGTAGTCGCGGTGACAACGATCTCGCGAGACGAAATATGCTCTGTTGTTTAGAACGCGGTTGCTACGGCAACGATCTCGCGAGACGAAATACGCTCGGTTGTTAAGAACGTGGTTGCTACGGCAATAATCTCGATTCTCGCGAGAAGAAATACGCTTGATTGTTTAGAACGCGGTTGCCATGGCAACAGAGCTGTAATACTTGCGGTCGCTTCACTTGAGCTTAGACGCATTGCAGAAGTGACTTTTATAGCTGACAACTTACCCCTGCGACTGTGACGCGGCAGCAAGAAACGAAGAAATGTGTTACGTGGTGAGTGTTGCAGAAGAATAAGGCGTAGAAGGCGTGAGCTGCCCGATGAAGTCTTCCTTTCTGCCCTGCGCTTCCCTTAAGCGGGCAGCACACTTCACCATTTTCGTTGCTCGTACAGGCAATTTTCGTGGTCGCCACAAAAATGGCCAAGTGTGCGGGGGCCGGCAACGACCACTCACCACGGAAATTTAGTGGTGACCACGAGTTGCCGAGAATCAAACCGGTTTGCTTTCTCATCACGTAAATTGCTCGTGGTGGCAACTTGTGGTGAAGTGTGCTGTGACGCGGCAACGGCCACAAAAATTGCCGACCACGAAAATTGCCTGTACGAGCAACGAAAATGGTGAAGTGTGCTGCTAGCTTTACACCACTCATGCCACCTGGCAGCCGTACCCAAACCCTTGCTCTCAGCTGGCATACTGTATAACAACGTCCCTGTGTTCTCTAGCTACGGTTGGTAACCCTGTCAAACACCCTTCAACCCCATCTTATTTATCAAACCCTCATTACTTCCTTCCTCCACGCCTTGTCCCCCTCTTCACTCACCCAACCTCCCATTTCCACTCCACGTCCTACATACTACCGCTGAAAAGGTCTATGTCCTCAGGGTACTGCTGGAACGTACCCTGGGTACTATCTAATATGCCGGACCGTACCTCGCCTACTCCACTAACGAGTCTAGGGAGTCGCCTACGCCTACTTCCTAACTCTAACCCTAATCCTAATCCTAACCTTAACCCTAACCATATCAAATAGTTACCAGGGTACATTCCGGTATACCGGACCGTACCCAGGGTACGTTCCGACAGTACCCTGGGGGACATAGACCCTATGATTGAGCCATGCTACTTTGCAACCCAAATAGAATCCTACTCTAGCACCTGGCAACTTATCAACCACTGCTACCACCTACCCCCTATGCCCTCCTCTGCTTGCATCTGAAAACCTAAGCTTCCTTCCTCACTCATCTAACAAGCTACCCTCACCGTCCAACCGTGTCCCTCCCTCTACCCTCACTCCCACCACTCCCACCACTCCCCCCTCTCCATGTAGCAACCTACCAAACCGGCTCACCCTTCCGCTAGCCTCCCAACCCACCCAATTGCCCAGCATTGTTCCACCCTCCCCACATGTCCACTATCCTCCCACGGTCCCACCCACCCCATTTGCCCACTATCCCTCCACCCTCCCCACTCTCCTCCAGCCCTCAGTGCGCGCGATCGTCCTACCTTTGTCCTCGTGCACGTACAGGTACACGCCCACGCCGTGCGAACTGCCGTGTCTGTACTCGAGCCCCGCCTCCCACAGCCAGATACGCACGTAGGTTTCCACAATCGACGCTGTCGCCGCCGCCGTCGCCGACCACGCGGTGTTAGTGTGTGCCGTGCAGAGAGAGAGAGAGAGAAAGAGAGAGAGAGAGAGAGAGAAGGAATGAAGGATGGAGAAAGACAGAGAGGGAGAGAAAGAGAGAGCGCGAAATAAAGAGAGCAATGGAAGAGAGACAAAGAGACTGGCCGGCGTGGTGCAGAAAAAATTAGCTCTTAACATTAACCTTAAACTTCAAGTTTTTCTCTTAAAGCGTTGCCAGAAATATCGTAAAGTTAGAGAATTAAAATAATTCTCGTAATTTTTTCTTTAACTTAAGAGATCCTAGACCCTCCCTTAACTTTAATATTAAGTTGAAAATAACACATTTACACCACGAATTACAATTATAGTGATATTATAATTTTATAATGAATGCAATACAATGTGTGTTTTTCTTTCGAAAAACACGCAAATCATTAATTATCTACGCTAATAAAACAAAACAATACATTTATAAATGACGTATGGCATTTGTTCTCTTGTTTCAAAGGTTGTGCAACGCTTGCCACCGATTCTCGCGGTCTCGTGTTACACGTGTGAGAATTTGTCTTGTTGTGCAGAATTAATTCATGACCACGTAAATATTTCATCAAATATTATTTATATGTGTTTAGCCATATATATCGCATA